TTCACTCCACTCCGTTTTACTCCTCACTTAAATTCCAAAAATACTTTTTAATCAGTCTCGTGGACTTAATGCATCAATTAATACTAATTAAAGAGACGTTCGCCAGTCACTTTTCGAGTAATGATATACATACCGGCATTTAAGAAAACAACATCAAGGGCGTTCACCAAATTTCAGGACCTCTGATATATGAAAACGGTAATAGATATACTATAATGTATAACAGAAATATCGAAGATCAGCATAATATACCAGATGTGCCATGGTCGTTGAATTCTAAGTTCCTTCATCCCTTATAGAAATTGTAGGTACTTCGCTATAATTGTAATTTAAACTTGTGTTTTATTCAATTTATAATTTCTAATATGGCAGAAATTCTATTTTGAAATCTTAGTTTTATTCAATTTATAATTACTGATTTGATTCAATTGCCGAAATCAACTTAATTTAATTACATACATCTGAACAACACCATATATGGCTGCTAGTTGCAAACTACTATTCCTGTTCTCTACTAAATAAGAATTTTTATTTCACCTAACTATTTATTTGACTTGCTATCCGAAAACAAAACATGCTTATTCTATATTTTAATCTTATATAATACTGATAAGCCATTATAGTTTGATATCTTATTAGAATATGAAAATAAAAATGGGCATTGGCTTTCATGATACTAAAACATTTAAAAAACATCGATTTTATTTCATAATAACTAAAAATTATGAAAAAAATAAATTTCAAACACGTTCATACATTTCGAGATAATGAATGTTTACTGTTAAAAAAATCATCACATATTATAGTACCATGACATCCACATGTATTAATTTATATAATTTATATCACAAATATTTTACTAAAATTATGTAGCAGATATATATACAGCTTCACTGTTTACATAATATATGAATAGTATTGCTCTGATATAACATTATACGTTTATATATTAAATGTATAGCTAACATTTATAATCAGAGATTTACAAATCTATAATTGAACATTATTATATAATATAGTTAATACACAAGTTTTGCTTTTTAGAACTAAAAATTATTATTTATTGTTAACCTATTGTGCCAAAAAAAAATAATGATTTACGGTTTTAGGTTGGGCATACAAGTTGGAACTGACATCAAAATGATTGACAGCAAATATTTATCAAAATAAATTTTATTTATATTTTTTGGAATGTAGAAAATCTTGAAAATTATAGACATATACTTAAAGTGTAACGTTTTCACATAAGGTTTAATTTAACATTGTCCCAGCAATAATATCATTTTTTTGCCAGCATAAATAATTGTAAAATATCAATTAATATTATTCATATATTATTAATATCATTTAATATCAATTAGGCATGTCACGTATAAAAAATAAAAAACTGCAGTCTCAACAAAATAAATAATTTATAACAATATTACTAGAAAAATTATAGTGTGTAATATTTTCAGAGTTTATAAGTAACATAAAATTAAAATTGTAATTAGGCTGAAACCTTCTCTAATACTTTTTATTAGAATACTACTATTTTTGAATAAAACGAGATTCACATTCATTAAACAGTCTCACATACTATATTATAAACATTATTACATGTCATTGACAATAATAACCAATAATTTACTAAACCATACATTATTTTTACTATTATGCATACAAATAAAAACAAAAGGACCGAAGTATTGATATTGAACGACAGTTGTTCCCAATTCAATTATAATTCAATATAATGTAGTTATTATTTTGAATAGAATCTACTTAGGGACACCAATTTTCAACAACAACAAAAAAAACCATACCAATGTGTAGTCCTTCGCGTTTTTTATCTGGAGTATTACTAATGGGAGCAAACATACACTCTATTGATGTTCCTAATTGTATTTGCATTCCTTCATATTGTTTCTAACAAGTTTTAAAATTATAATTATTTAGTAAGTCCGTGAAAAATTATAAAATTTTTAATAATTATATAACTCTAGTATATAATTTTTACTAGCAAGTGACGCAAATCATAAACAAAATTGAAATCTATATATATTTGTACCTCTATATATATTGATTAGAGGTTGTCATTGCTAATATAATAATTGGCATAAGATACTATTTATTATTCAGTTATTTTTTTCACTTTCATTTATAAAAAATGTCATCTATTGAAGAAATTACTGTGAATGGGATGTTGACATCTTAAATAGTTGTACCAATGGTCGGTGATGGTGCCTGCCTTTTCCGTTCAATTTCTTTTCACTTATATAAGACTCAAGAAAGATGCCAGGAGATCCAAAACACAATTGTTAAGTATGTCTCTGTTAATTATTTATTTATATATAATATATATCAATAAATAATGTTGAGTTCGAGTTCGAGTTCAACTTAAAATGATTCTAGGTTCGGTTCGGTTCGGTTCGGTAGAAAATATAAAGGTTCGGTTCGGTTCRGGTTCAAAAAAAAATATTTAAAGTTCAGTTCAAGTTCGGTTCGATTTAAAAAATAAGAGCTTGACCCATCACTAATATATATATATCTATAATTAATTAATCTCTGATAATATTGCAATACCTTTGTTAATATGTCTTACAATTCATATAATGACAACTTTTCCACTGCTGAGGATTATGTTCATGATATGGAAATTCCTACTGTCTACGGTGTTTACTGTGAATTGTTTGCAGCTGGCAATATTTTCCCATATGTATTTGAAATTTATTATAATAATAATTAGGCTTAGGGACTTATAGCTCTAAAAAAAATACACAAATATGCTTCTAAAATCAATAAAATATGCATTTAAATGCATTAAAAAAAAAAAATGACCACTAAATCTTGGTTAATATCACTTGATATCTTTCTACAGACAATAGAAACATTTACGCAGTTTACCCATTGGTAACCATCCCGATCACTTCATTAATCGAACAAGGAAATATAATGGTTGTTTTCAAATGACATCGTTTGGTGTTAAACAAGTTTTATGCCATTTTTTAAAATTTAAAGCCAAGTATACCATTTGTATGGCAGCTTGATTCAAAGAACTCAGAAAACCCCAATATTTTTACAAATTTATTTTGTTGGTGATGATGAAAAATAAGTTCAACTTAGATGTTCTCTTTATCCAGAAGTTAAACGAACATTGGTCAAACAACTACAAAATATGCTGCATACTGAAAATAAGTATATTCGAGAATTTAAAACCATGGTAGAGATGATGTAGTAGTGGTGATTAACGCAAATAGAAAGCCTGTTAATGGACACAAAGGCTGTTACAACGCAGCAACGGCTAATGAAGTGGCTTTAGTAATAGTTGGACAGCAATTTGAAAAAAAAGATATTATTATTCAAAGTCATGATAATCCACTCTAACAGATAAGTGAATTACACAGATCCTACAACGCACTTCAATATCATCTAATGTTTTGTTATGGAGAAGATGAATACTAGATGTTTTATTGAATAATACTCTGAATAATACTCAGAAGGATACAAATAAAAAATTTCCCCTTAAGGATAAAACTGTATCAGCTTCTGACTTTTTTTCATACAGAATTATGGTTAAAAGGTGATTTTTTTGGGAAATTGAGTTTCCATATATATTCCATTGAATGGTAGAAGCGAGGCCTACCTCACGTACACATATTGGTATGGTTGGAGAATCGAATATCATCAGATATAATAGATGAATTCGTGTGTGCTGAGATTCCGAATCCAGTTATATATCCTTTATTATACGAGATAGCAAAGGCTAACATGATACATGGACCATGTGGTCTTTTGAACAGAAATTCTCCTTGCATGAAAGAAGGTGTTTACAGCAAACGTTATTCAGTTACCTTCATTAAAGAAACTCAAAGAGGAGAAGACGGCTATCCAATATATAGAAGGCAATCTACAAACGATGGAAGTTTCAAAGTGATCGAGTATTAAGTCGTTTGACTTGGATAACAGGTGGGTTGTTCCTACAACCCAGTTTTGTTGCGTACTTTTATTGCTCATATAAATGTTGAGATAACCAGTTCCATAAAGTCTATATGTATGCAAATATGTCACAAAAGGTAGCGATCACGCAGTGTTTGGTTTAGGAAAAACTGACAATACAGATGAAATAAAAACATATGAAATTGGCAGGTATATCAGTAGTTCCGAAGCACCTTGGAAAATTTTAGGTTTTCATATACGCGATAGGTATCCAGCTATTACTCATCTTGATGTTCACCTAGAAAATGGACAACGTGTTTACTTTACAGCAGATAATGTCACAGAAAGCATAAAAAATCCACCTACAACTAATCTTCAGGCTTTTTTTTTGAAGTGTCAAACCGATGATTTTGCAAGAACATTGGTTTATCCACAAGTTGCCATAATATAATAGGTCGGTTAGTGGAGCTCGTATCTACTCTGCTGGGCCAAGGCTAATAGTAGGCTCTAAGTTCGCGATGTTTTACTTTTCGTGCCCAGTATCGCCGCCGTCGAATCCAAACTCGCCGTAGCCGTCTACTGAAATTGCTTATTGTTTATCAGTATCGCCGCCATCTAACATCGTCGATTAGTACGAACAACTACTTTACCAGGTCCAGGCGAACACGCCGGGATAACGTATGCTCTTATTCATGTCCACCGAGCTGCGAAGGAAAATTATAAGAATTTGACCACGTCATCATACTAACACTGTAGTGAGTAATTCAAATATTAATTGTGATTGAGACTCATTTGTATTGTATAATTAAGCCGTGTGATTTATATTATATTCATGCTACAGTATATTTCGTATAATATACTGGCCGAAGAAAATATTTGAATTATTTTGTTATAAACTTTATTAGTAATGTATTAATTAAATTTACTTATCATTTGGCAAAATAAATCAACATTTGTTTAATTTAAAACTGAAAATGTGTTCATTGTGAACTGGCGCCCAACAAAACCGATTATAAATTGTAAATTAGAGATACAAGTAATTTAGTGCCGATAACAGTATTATGTGTGGGTTAGACGTAAATATGACCAAAATTTCGAGGGTTAGTCGCGAGTTTAGAAAGAAGGAATAAAGTATGATACAGCTTTAAGTAGAGTTTATACAACCCGCTCAAAGAATGTTGAATGTTACCATCTTCGTCTTCTTCTTCATCACGTAAAAGGCCCAACATCGTATTCATTTTTGAAGACTGTAAATAACACTGAATATCCGACATTTCAAGCAACATGTAGAGCCCTTGGATCATTAGAAGATGGCAATCAGTGGAATTTAGCTTTAGGAGAAGCAGCAGTATGTCGTTCGACTGATAAAATTAGAGAACTATTCGGTTTAATATTAATATTTTGCGATCTATCAGACGCTTCAAGGCTTTGAAATAAGTATAAGGACGATTTTTTGGACGATACCCGATGACAATACCATAGACAACACATGGAAATTAATATAAAAGACGATGAACTTTATAATAAACAATAAACGTTTGGTATTAATTGAAGATTTTGTTTTGAATCTAGGTGGAATGAGCTTAAAAGAATATGGTTTGGCAACTCCTACACAAGATTTTATGGGCTGTTAGAAAATAGAAAATATTTAAAAGAAACAAGCTTTGATTTAATTGATTTACATGAGATTTTAAAGCAAAATGAACACTCATTGACTGAGGAACAGTGGTTTGTTTACAAACAAATATTAAATAGCATCAAATTAAATTTAGGAAAATGTATATTTTTGGATTCTCCTGGTGGAACCGGTAAAACCCACTTAATCAATCTACTTTTGGCTAAAGTAAGAAGCTCATATGGGATTGCAATTGCAGCTGCATCATCAGAAATTGCTGCTACGCTTTTACATGGAGTAAAAACTGCTCATTCTGCTTTCAAGTTGCTACTGAATTTGAACACCATCGAGACTCCAACGCGCAATATTAATAAATGATCAAATTTGGCGAAAGTTAGGAATGAAAGTCCAATGTCTCATAAGAAAGGATTTTAAGCTTTAAAAAACTGTCAGAAGGATCTGAAAAATTAGAATTTATTGATGGGAGGAGTCACGGTACTACTGGCTGGAGATTTTCGACAAACTCTACCAGTCGTACCAAGAGGAACTCGAGCTAATGAAATTAAGGCATGCATCGAGTCTTAATATTTGTGGCTTCTAATAGAAAAAGTTTCTTTGATCATAAATATGTGAGTACATTTAAAAGGAGACAGGACTGCTAAGCAGTTTTCTAAGTTATTCTTAAAAATAGGATATGGTAAATATCCGGAATATGAAGGAAAATTACTTGGCCGACCGGATTAGGTACTGTTGTAAAAACTTTACATGAACTCACAAACAAAATATATTCAGGAATCGAACACATCAAAGATAAACCAATGTACTGGTTATGTGAGAGGGCCATACTGACATCAAAAAATGATACAGAAGCAGACATAAACAAAATATTATTACTCTTTCAAAGCAAAAAATATGGAATACAGATCAGTGAATTCAGTACTGGAAGTAGACGATGCAGTTTAATTATCCAGTTGAATTTCTCATTTCAATCAACCCTCCTGGATTTCCACTACATTTATTAATATTATAAATTGGTTGTCCTATAGTGCTTCTCAGAAATCTTAGTCCACCAAAATTGTGCAATGGAACACCTCTACGGATTATTGGTCTACAAAAGAATTTGATTGAAGCTATTATTATGACTGGATCTGCAAAAGGTGAATCAGTTCTTATTCCTCGCATACCAATGATACCATAAAATTATCCTTTCCAATTCAAGAGATGCAGTTCCCTCTAAAAGTATGTTTTGCCATGGCAATAAACAAATCACAAGGGCAAACCTTGAAATTTACAGGGATCGATATAAGAGAAGATTATTTTTCACATGGCCAATTGTATGTGGCATGCTCCAGAGTCAAAACGCCCACGAGTTTAGTTATTTTGGGAAAACAGGAATTACAGCTAATGTAGTTTATAGAGAAATATTATATTAACGATAAAAATCAGCTTAATAAACAATTAATATAATATGACATATTTTTTTAAACAATCTTATTTAAATTTAATTTAACTAGACAATATTTAATCTTACCAGATAACAGCAATTAATAAGCCCGGCAACGACGGGTAATTCAGCTAGTTATACATAATTAAAAACTATAATGATGCCATATTCTCTGATATATAAAGAGTAAAAGATTTCAAGATTCATTTTATCCTGTATATGATATAATATATAACACTTAGTGTACTTTGCTCATTATCATTTATCACAATACTATAAAATCAGAATTGAATGTATAATCGATCGAATATGATCGCGTGCCACAAGTGAAAAAATTTAAAATATCATCATTATAGTATCAACCTACTATCTTTAATCGAATCAATCACACAGCGTAGTACGATAAATAATATCGTACCTATTTATTGTTATTATGCCAATGAAAATTAGTTGTTTGAATGAATGAGCACGTGATCAGCCATAATGATAACGATAATTAATATGACAAGACGTTAGCGAGCGTAGTGACGTGATACGGGTCTAAAGTTATAATATCTGTCAATAATTACGTCCCTGTGTCCGTCAAAAATGAGGACATTGGCGACGTATGTTCGCACATTGTTCAGAGAATACAATTTAAATCAATCATTACTATGATATAAGGTTCGGATAAAAATCACGCTACTGATTTTTTTTTTTTTTTGGTTTGTTTGTCGATCGTTACGTTTTATTATTATCATTATTATTTGAAGCAGCCAGCAGCTGCGAGATTCTAAACCGACCGGTGTTCATATAATATACTGTATACACATACGTAGGTAAAAGGAGAGCGGAATGAATTTATCAAAATTTACCATCGGAGTGTTGGGTTATAAAAAAAGAGGGGGGGGGACGGGAAGGACTGTGAAATGTGATTTATGTGGGTAGGTTTTAAGCGCTTTAGACGAGTTTAAATAAAATGCTTGTCGAGTTCCATGCGGCAGAAGGACGAAAATGAAATTTCCGGACCCACCACACCAAACTAGATAAGGTATTTGTATTTATTTTCATTGTTTTGACATGCCACGGTTGCTCCCGGCGACCTATATTAGCCGCTCAACATTTTTATCGTGTCTGTGAGTAGTAAAAACAAAAGCTAAATACTCGAAGATACTCGGAATTTGACATTTTTGTTTTTATTTATCTTGTTCAATTGTTACTTATATTTCTGTGGTAGAAAAAGTTTGGACAGTTCGTCCGTACGTGAGACGTATCTCATACGAGGATAAAAAAAAATAGACAACTTTCTTCACTGTTTTTATATTTTATATATTACATGATAGCTTTGATTGGGTTTGAAATCCGCTATGATCAATGTTTCATGAATTCTTAAGTTTTAAACTCAAAGTTAAGTCAATATTATGTCATTCAAAATTACAAAACCCATGAATTATAAATTATTTATACGATATGTCGTATACATATTATATTTTTATACATAATTTATAGTAAACATGTATTCGGTGCATAACTATAAGGAGTAATATATTACCATAACATAAGAATATATATTTTATATATTTATGGATGTATTCAAAGTAAATATGCTGCAAAGTGCAGTTTAAATTGTATTTAGAAAACTTACTAAATAAACTTGACATTTTCAAAGTAAATAACATTGCATTAGGTTAATTTTCTGCAGGTAAAGATTTTTTTAATCTATTTTCATACATTGTGAATCTGCTTCTACTTCAAAAATAAAATGTTACAATTTTTGATAAAATGAATATATTGTAAATTCCACTTTATCCTGTTACCTTTAACATTATTCAAATATTGTCAGATGTATATTTTTTTTTTTACTAAAATAATAAACGTATCAACATCAAAGATTCTAATTTTTTATTGTAAATAGTGTTAAATAATATGAAATTTGGTTGTATACAATTAATAGTCATATTACTAGAGTTCGATATTACAATAATCATAAATTCATATCAAAGTTAATAAGTTAATTAAATCTATAAAATACATATGGTATGATTAACACTTGTTATCTTTCAGCTACATATTTTAAACTCAATGCATAAATTAGTTTTTTTCATGAAGGTTTTCCATTCGTTATGTCTGTGGCGTTTTCGGTGTTTGTCCCTAATGCGTCAAATATGTTGGTGGAGTATTATACATTTTAAGGTCATATTGATGTAGTACTCTGTTATTTTATCTTAAACTGTTAGGATAACAAGGTTGTACACTAGGGAAATTCTTGTTTGGTCATTAAGAATTTGTGTGCATATCCAGAGACTTTTAATTAAAAAAATGTTCTCTTCTGTCATGTTTATTTTATGGAATATAATAACTGTCCAACCGGCATTGCCAGTGCCGAACATTTTTTGTTTTTTTTTTATACAAAATATATTTGTRAAAAAAGTGTATGCCATATTTCTACTAATTAAACTTCTAGTATTATATGTATAACTAACGTCAACCCTATAAAGGTATAAACAGAAAATATTAGTTTTTGTGAGCTGAGAAAAAATGCATATTTTGCTTTAGTTACCTAAAGGATATGAAAAAATAAGATATAAATATCTTCCAAGTATCAAAGAATTTATTAATATAACTTTAGTTGTTTATATGTGTATTGACTTCGGATAATACAAAAATCAAATTTTAATTCAGAGTGTAACAGGAAGACCTAATAGATAAAATAACATTTTTTCTAGTTGATATTTTATTTTTGTTTATACATATTTAATTTATAGGTACTTATGCTACATGTATAGTATACAAACATTTTTATTTTTATTTTTTATTGCTGAAATTGTTCATGAATTATTTTAAATATCAATATGTAAAATTTTTTGAGTAAATTAATTTTAAAAGTCATTACTTTTTTTCAAAATATTATTTTTGGAACTAAGTATATTGTAATTGATAAATTATTTATTAACCAAACAATTTGCAAGATTTTTGTCATATGATGAGACGCAAAAAATACATATCTAAAATCTAAAAATCTCATGGATCCAAAATATTAATTATTAAATAATATAATAATTGTAATAAAAATTAGTCAACAATCATATATTTAAAATTTGAAATATTTAACTAATATTTATGCTATGTAAAATGAACACAATATATTATTATAATATGTTAATATATAATAATATGATTGTTAAAACTAATTTTGTCTTATGTTATAATGCTATAAACAAACAAATTAGGAATCTAATAACTACTATACGCACTAATTACTTATTATGTCTTATAATATAATAAATTGGTATACATGTATAAATCATTTGGCTATTCAAATATAAATTAAATTTCACGATAGTTTTAAATGATAATGTGTATCTTATTACCTATCAGTAGGTATATTTTATAAAATAATGTATGACGCAAATGGTAATCACTATGTAAACTTTGACTTACGATTTGGTATTCAATAATTGTCCACAATTAGTTTTTAGCATGCGATTTTCATATTGTATGTAATTGTCGTTAACAAAAGGACGATATTCAATGTCCTAGTTATCGAAGGGTCTGAACCTTTTCAAAGCCGCCTCAAGCGAATACCCAGAGGAATGCAAGCTGTCCTCTGTGATATTGAAGGTATGAGTTAAAGAAGAGACATTGGTGGAAAGGGAGACGAAGGGTCATAAAGTGCATTCATAAAAAACTTGAAGTAATATACATAAAAAGGACAACAGGAAATTCTACTGTGACAAAACATTACAAAAGGTCTGATTTAAATACAAAATTTACTTTATTCTATTCCCTGAACGTCCAATTTTGTTTACTCATATTTAGTAAAATATTTATACAAACCTTTCCTTTCTCATACACCATAATAGAAAAATTATTTTTAAACGATTCATAATAGTACATGGAGCATTATAATATAATATTTCAAAAATGTTTTCTCAAAAGAACTAATTTAAAGATTGAACTACATTCGAAACCAAACATTTTTGATAGCATATGTATTTACTAAAACATTGTTCTTTAAAAACCAGCACGTACAAAACAAAACCACAAAAACTTTTTACTAAGAAACCGAGTACACTCATTGAATAATATATTTTATAAGAACTTTTGTAAATAGATATTACATTCTTACACCAATTTTTTCACACTCGCACGATATAATTCATTATCATAATTTTTTTCACTTTTATAACAATAATAATTATTGTTTTTATCTGTTACACAAAACATATTTTAACCAAACAATATTGATTAGCAGTTGTCGTGTTATTGTTTTTCTGCACACCTGACATTTTAGAACCTTATTTAAAAAATATTTTACATTTTACTATTCCTATTTAACATTTTAACATAGATAAATTTTATTTTTTTATCGTTTCAGTAAAAATAAATACAGAAAACCTTTAATATTGGATAATTATTAATTATGCATTATTATATTTATATGTTTCTTTTTTATTGGTGGTTTGAGGATTCGGTTGCTCTTCTTTGATTCGTTTTTKTCGATTCAAGAAGAACCATGGCAGGTGAAATACTGAAATAGTTTCGTAGTAAGTTGTTTCTACAGCCGAGCGTTCGTCTAGCTGTTCTTCACGGGGATCTAATATCTCTATACGAGTTTGAGTGCTGAGGAAGTCTTCGTAAGCAGCTTCATACCTCGTAGTTCGCATTTCCAGTTCCATGATTTTCTATGGATCTGAGAAGTTACTGTTGTCAAAGAATTTCTGAAAAGCAATGATCTGCCGTTTCATAACTCCCCGACGACTGACGAGATCTCT